GCCTGATTTCAATTTCGCTGGTTTGGAATAGGCCTTATTTCACTGTGACTGGTTGGGAATGAGCCTTATTTCATTGTGACTATTTTGGAATGGGTCTTATTTTGGTGTGGCTAGTTTGGAATAGGCCTTATTTCGGTGTGAGTGGTTTGGACAATGGGCCTTATATTGTTGTGACTATTTTGGAATGGGCCTTATTTTTGTGTGACTGGTTTGCAATGGGCCTTTTTTCAATGTGACTGGTTTGGAATGGGCCTTTTTTCAATGTGACTGGTTTGGAATGGGCCTTTTTTCAATGTGACTGGTTTGGAATGGGCCTTTTTTCAATGTGACTGGTTTGGAATGGGCCTTTTTTCAATGTGACTGGTTTGGAATGGGCCTTTTTTCAATGTGACTGGTTTGGAATGGGCCTTTTTTCAATGTGACTGGTTTGGAATGGGCCTTTTTTCAATGTGACTGGTTTGGAATGGGCCTTTTTTCAATGTGACTGGTTTGGAATGGGCCTTTTTTCAATGTGACTGGTTTGGAATGGGCCTTTTTTCAATGTGACTGGTTTGGAATGGGCCTTTTTTCAATGTGACTGGTTTGGAATGGGCCTTTTTTCAATGTGACTGGTTTGGAATGGGCCTTTTTTCAATGTGACTGGTTTGGAATGGGCCTTTTTTCAATGTGACTGGTTTGGAATGGGCCTTTTTTCAATGTGACTGGTTTGGAATGGGCCTTTTTTCAATGTGACTGGTTTGGAATGGGCCTTTTTTCAATGTGACTGGTTTGGAATGGGCCTTTTTTCAATGTGACTGGTTTGGAATGGGCCTTTTTTCAATGTGACTGGTTTGGAATGGGCCTTTTTTCAATGTGACTGGTTTGGAATGGGCCTTTTTTCAATGTGACTGGTTTGGAATGGGCCTTTTTTCAATGTGACTGGTTTGGAATGGGCCTTTTTTCAATGTGACTGGTTTGGAATGGGCCTTTTTTCAATGTGACTGGTTTGGAATGGGCCTTTTTTCAATGTGACTGGTTTGGAATGGGCCTTTTTTCAATGTGACTGGTTTGGAATGGGCCTTTTTTCAATGTGACTGGTTTGGAATGGGCCTTTTTTCAATGTGACTGGTTTGGAATGGGCCTTTTTTCAATGTGACTGGTTTGGAATGGGCCTTTTTTCAATGTGACTGGTTTGGAATGGGCCTTTTTTCAATGTGACTGGTTTGGAATGGGCCTTTTTTCAATGTGACTGGTTTGGAATGGGCCTTTTTTCAATGTGACTGGTTTGGAATGGGCCTTTTTTCAATGTGACTGGTTTGGAATGGGCCTTTTTTCAATGTGACTGGTTTGGAATGGGCCTTTTTTCAATGTGACTGGTTTGGAATGGGCCTTTTTTCAATGTGACTGGTTTGGAATGGGCCTTTTTTCAATGTGACTGGTTTGGAATGGGCCTTTTTTCAATGTGACTGGTTTGGAATGGGCCTTTTTTCAATGTGACTGGTTTGGAATGGGCCTTTTTTCAATGTGACTGGTTTGGAATGGGCCTTTTTTCAATGTGACTGGTTTGGAATGGGCCTTTTTTCAATGTGACTGGTTTGGAATGGGCCTTTTTTCAATGTGACTGGTTTGGAATGGGCCTTTTTTCAATGTGACTGGTTTGGAATGGGCCTTTTTTCAATGTGACTGGTTTGGAATGGGCCTTTTTTCAATGTGACTGGTTTGGAATGGGCCTTTTTTCAATGTGACTGGTTTGGAATGGGCCTTTTTTCAATGTGACTGGTTTGGAATGGGCCTTTTTTCAATGTGACTGGTTTGGAATGGGCCTTTTTTCAATGTGACTGGTTTGGAATGGGCCTTTTTTCAATGTGACTGGTTTGGAATGGGCCTTTTTTCAATGTGACTGGTTTGGAATGGGCCTTTTTTCAATGTGACTGGTTTGGAATGGGCCTTTTTTCAATGTGACTGGTTTGGAATGGGCCTTTTTTCAATGTGACTGGTTTGGAATGGGCCTTTTTTCAATGTGACTGGTTTGGAATGGGCCTTTTTTCAATGTGACTGGTTTGGAATGGGCCTTTTTTCAATGTGACTGGTTTGGAATGGGCCTTTTTTCAATGTGACTGGTTTGGAATGGGCCTTTTTTCAATGTGACTGGTTTGGAATGGGCCTTTTTTCAATGTGACTGGTTTGGAATGGGCCTTTTTTCAATGTGACTGGTTTGGAATGGGCCTTTTTTCAATGTGACTGGTTTGGAATGGGCCTTTTTTCAATGTGACTGGTTTGGAATGGGCCTTTTTTCAATGTGACTGGTTTGGAATGGGCCTTTTTTCAATGTGACTGGTTTGGAATGGGCCTTTTTTCAATGTGACTGGTTTGGAATGGGCCTTTTTTCAATGTGACTGGTTTGGAATGGGCCTTTTTTCAATGTGACTGGTTTGGAATGGGCCTTTTTTCAATGTGACTGGTTTGGAATGGGCCTTTTTTCAATGTGACTGGTTTGGAATGGGCCTTTTTTCAATGTGACTGGTTTGGAATGGGCCTTTTTTCAATGTGACTGGTTTGGAATGGGCCTTTTTTCAATGTGACTGGTTTGGAATGGGCCTTTTTTCAATGTGACTGGTTTGGAATGGGCCTTTTTTCAATGTGACTGGTTTGGAATGGGCCTTTTTTCAATGTGACTGGTTTGGAATGGGCCTTTTTTCAATGTGACTGGTTTGGAATGGGCCTTTTTTCAATGTGACTGGTTTGGAATGGGCCTTTTTTCAATGTGACTGGTTTGGAATGGGCCTTTTTTCAATGTGACTGGTTTGGAATGGGCCTTTTTTCAATGTGACTGGTTTGGAATGGGCCTTTTTTCAATGTGACTGGTTTGGAATGGGCCTTTTTTCAATGTGACTGGTTTGGAATGGGCCTTTTTTCAATGTGACTGGTTTGGAATGGGCCTTTTTTCAATGTGACTGGTTTGGAATGGGCCTTTTTTCAATGTGACTGGTTTGGAATGGGCCTTTTTTCAATGTGACTGGTTTGGAATGGGCCTTTTTTCAATGTGACTGGTTTGGAATGGGCCTTTTTTCAATGTGACTGGTTTGGAATGGGCCTTTTTTCAATGTGACTGGTTTGGAATGGGCCTTTTTTCAATGTGACTGGTTTGGAATGGGCCTTTTTTCAATGTGACTGGTTTGGAATGGGCCTTTTTTCAATGTGACTGGTTTGGAATGGGCCTTTTTTCAATGTGACTGGTTTGGAATGGGCCTTTTTTCAATGTGACTGGTTTGGAATGGGCCTTTTTTCAATGTGACTGGTTTGGAATGGGCCTTTTTTCAATGTGACTGGTTTGGAATGGGCCTTTTTTCAATGTGACTGGTTTGGAATGGGCCTTTTTTCAATGTGACTGGTTTGGAATGGGCCTTTTTTCAATGTGACTGGTTTGGAATGGGCCTTTTTTCAATGTGACTGGTTTGGAATGGGCCTTTTTTCAATGTGACTGGTTTGGAATGGGCCTTTTTTCAATGTGACTGGTTTGGAATGGGCCTTTTTTCAATGTGACTGGTTTGGAATGGGCCTTTTTTCAATGTGACTGGTTTGGAATGGGCCTTTTTTCAATGTGACTGGTTTGGAATGGGCCTTTTTTCAATGTGACTGGTTTGGAATGGGCCTTTTTTCAATGTGACTGGTTTGGAATGGGCCTTTTTTCAATGTGACTGGTTTGGAATGGGCCTTTTTTCAATGTGACTGGTTTGGAATGGGCCTTTTTTCAATGTGACTGGTTTGGAATGGGCCTTTTTTCAATGTGACTGGTTTGGAATGGGCCTTTTTTCAATGTGACTGGTTTGGAATGGGCCTTTTTTCAATGTGACTGGTTTGGAATGGGCCTTTTTTCAATGTGACTGGTTTGGAATGGGCCTTTTTTCAATGTGACTGGTTTGGAATGGGCCTTTTTTCAATGTGACTGGTTTGGAATGGGCCTTTTTTCAATGTGACTGGTTTGGAATGGGCCTTTTTTCAATGTGACTGGTTTGGAATGGGCCTTTTTTCAATGTGACTGGTTTGGAATGGGCCTTTTTTCAATGTGACTGGTTTGGAATGGGCCTTTTTTCAATGTGACTGGTTTGGAATGGGCCTTTTTTCAATGTGACTGGTTTGGAATGGGCCTTTTTTCAATGTGACTGGTTTGGAATGGGCCTTTTTTCAATGTGACTGGTTTGGAATGGGCCTTTTTTCAATGTGACTGGTTTGGAATGGGCCTTTTTTCAATGTGACTGGTTTGGAATGGGCCTTTTTTCAATGTGACTGGTTTGGAATGGGCCTTTTTTCAATGTGACTGGTTTGGAATGGGCCTTTTTTCAATGTGACTGGTTTGGAATGGGCCTTTTTTCAATGTGACTGGTTTGGAATGGGCCTTTTTTCAATGTGACTGGTTTGGAATGGGCCTTTTTTCAATGTGACTGGTTTGGAATGGGCCTTTTTTCAATGTGACTGGTTTGGAATGGGCCTTTTTTCAATGTGACTGGTTTGGAATGGGCCTTTTTTCAATGTGACTGGTTTGGAATGGGCCTTTTTTCAATGTGACCCATCCCATTTCCCTGGAGCAACCAACCCCTGACCTTGCTTTAAGTGAGGATAAGAACAAGCTGTCTACCAAACTGGTGTTCCTGGCACTTACCATGTAGGTGGAGCTCTGGAACTAGTAGACTCAAAGACAGATGGACAGACAGACAGAGGCACATTTCTAAAATATTTAGCAAGATGAAAAAATAACTTTTTTTTTTTTTACTTAAGTCCTTGGAGTCTTTTTTGTTGTTGTTGTTGTTGTTGCTCAAAAACTTTGGTCTCCCCCTTCCTTTTTTTCCCCTTCAACAGAATTTTTTCCCTTTTTTTTTTTTTGCTTGGGAGGGTGTTATTCAGTATTTTTGTTTCAGCCATCTGGCAACCCTACATGTAGGTACCTTCAGAGCCTCACTGAGTCAACTCTTACCCTTCTCCGGCATAAACAAGCTCGACTGTGCTACTTGTCTACACAGCCCCTGACAGTGAAGTCTTCAAGGCCAGGCTCACAGACTTAGGTTTGCAGGGCTTGTGTTATGGCGCTGAAAACAGCTGGGTGGATGTCACTGCGGCTGGAGCTTGGACTCGGAAAGGTAGGGATTGGGGACTGTGCTGGGCTGCCCCCACTACAACTGAAGGCTGCTGTCTGCAGAGATTTATCACACCCGTCGTGCATGTCTGATGGGCTTGGGGGCTCACTACTGGCTGGATAGACACAAGCCCGTGCACAGCAATGGAAACCAACACAAACAGGGCGGAGGAGTTGTGTTTTGTGGGGAGGGCTTCAGAATCCCTGGGGTTTGCAGCTGTTCCCCAGTGTGAAGTTCACAGCCATTTTCAGCTTTTTTTTCCCCATCAGCTCCAAGTTGCTTTATTTCACTGTGACTGGTTCAGAATGGGCCTGATTTCAATTTCGCTGGTTTGGAATAGGCCTTATTTCACTGTGACTGGTTGGGAATGAGCCTTATTTCATTGTGACTATTTTGGAATGGGTCTTATTTTGGTGTGGCTAGTTTGGAATAGGCCTTATTTCGGTGTGAGTGGTTTGGACAATGGGCCTTATATTGTTGTGACTATTTTGGAATGGGCCTTATTTTTGTGTGACTGGTTTGCAATGGGCCTTTTTTCAATGTGACTGGTTTGGAATGGGCCTTTTTTCAATGTGACTGGTTTGGAATGGGCCAGCATGACTGTGCTGCTGGCAATTACCAGCCTAACGCAATTAAGGTGCAAATAGCTCTAAGTGTAGATTCATATGTTAGTACCCCCCTATCTATTGACCTTGAACCTTCTCTGCTTCGTTTTAACTACCCCATCTTCAGGTACTTTCTGATTGCCTAGTCTGCCTTCCTGTTTTTCCCTTGGATTTTTTCCATAACCTCTGCTTCTTGTTTCCCGACCCCCACTCCCTTCTTTTTTTTCCCTTCCCCCTTCTCCCCTATTTATTTTGGGTCTGCACATCCCAAACTCAAAACTCCAGATATCTGAAGCAGTGGGCTGTGCCACAGAAGCTCATGATCCCATCTGCATATTTTGTTCGTCTATAAAGTGCAACCAGACCAGTTTGGGGGGGGGGGTTAACTTCATCCTGTACAGCAGGCATGTCAAACTGGCATTTGGGGGGGCCGCTTGGGGCCTGGCTGAAATTTTTTGCAACCTTCCAGAACATTTTTATAAAAGAATGAAACGAGACCCATTGGCCACTTGCAGCACGTGGCCAAGCGCTTTCTCACGGCCAGCCAGGCTGCTGCGTGCACTTGCTCACGGTCGGCTGGGTGTGACTCCGGGACCCAGGTATTAGGTTGGAAATGGGAGAGCCTGGCTCTGGGGCAGGGGAGAGGCATTAGGTTGGGCAGGCTGGGAGTGCCTGGCTCTGGGGGAGGAGGGGAGGCATTAGGTTGGGGGGGCTGGCTCTGGTGGAGTGGAGGAGGATTGGGTTAGAATGGAGGTATGGGAGTGCCTGGTTCGGCTCTGAGGAAACAGAGGGGGATTGGGTGAGAACGGGGGTATGGGAATACCTGGCCCTGTGGGAGAGGATTATTAATATTTTGGTTTTTATTTATTTAGTCCCAAATAAAATCTGTTCTACATTCTGGATTCCGTCATTTCCACTCCAGCCTATCTGAGGAAGTGGGCTTTCCCCACGGACGCTCGCAATTCTCTCTGGGTATGTCTACACTACAAAGTTAATTCAAACTAACAGCCGTTAGTTCGAATTAACTTTGATAGGCGCTACACAGGCAAACCGCTAGTTCAAACTTAATTCGAACTAGGTAAACCTCACTGCACGAGGACTAAGCCTAGTTCGAACTAACTAGTTCAAATTAAGGGCTGTGTAGCCACTTAATTCGAACTAGTGGGAGGCTAGCCCTCCCCAGCTTGCCCTGGTGGCCACTCTGGGCACCACCAGGGAAACTCTTCTGACCCCCTTCTGGCCCCGGAGCCCTTAAAGGGGCACGGGCTGGCTACGGTGCCCGTGCCAGGTGCAAGCCTGCCAGCACCCAGCCAGCAGCCCCCGCAC